CAAGATGTTTTCCAAAATGTACCTGCATGCTTTCAGCCTCACAGCTTTAGACTCTTATTTCTGCCAATCATAGCTCTCCTCCCTGTCCTCCAATTTCTCCAATAAACTTGAGCAAAAGCTCTTAGCTCAGTTTATGGCTAGCAGTCCCAAGGCCAGCTCTGTCTCATGTCAAGTCACTGATTCTCTGCTGCTCTCTGTTAAGGCTGCTGCTCCCAGAGGCCTGGATCTGGCTGACATAAGAATCTCTGGTCCCAAAATAAGAGCTGCATTCTCTTGCTTCTTCTTTGCTGGTGGGGAGACTTTCAAATTCTCCTGCTGGATCCACCCAATTTAATGGCAAGACTAGTCAATCCCCTTGTGAATAGGCTAACACACCCTATTCACATAGTCCTGCCCATCCACATGGTAAAGTCCAACTCAGTGACTAGGAAAGTCATTTTGAACAATAAAGCCTTAACACCACAGATTATCTCAGGAAATAAGTAACATGCTTGAAAAAATAGGTCATTGAAAGAGAAGGGAAAACTCAACAGGTTTTGACTGATACTGTGACTGCAATAGTTTTATTTATTGCAGAAATTGGAAGGATGGTGCACGACTGGGTAGGATTCTGATCTTTAATACAAAGGATTCCTGTTAATCAGAGTCACTTGAAGTAACTTAACAAGTTTCTCTGAGATGTTCTTGGTAATGCTAAAAATTTATCTAGGGATTTAGGCATTCCAAAGAGAGGCATGCATTAACATATTCTTCTATTCTACTTATACAAACTATTTATTTATATTTAGTAGAACAAAAGGAAACATTTTTGCCAGAGAGGTATTGAGGTATTAATTTGTATTCCAGATGTTGTTATGTGCCATCGAGTCGCTTGCTACTCATAGCGACCCTAGGTACAACAGCCCTAAACCCTGCTCTATCCTGTGCCAATCTCATGGCCTCTGACACATCCATCAAGATTACCCCGGTCACTGAATCAATCCACCTCATAGAGGGTCTTT